GAAGTATTAATCTATCAATATCAAAATCAAGTAACAATTTTGGGGACTCATTTTATAATGTCTGAAATTGTTTGAGTCCAGTAACAGTTTAAAGATACAATCATTAATATGGTAACTTTCAATTAGCCTCATTGACATGTTAATAATTACAGGAAGTGTGAAGCCTAAAAGTTGATGACAACACAAAAAGAAGGGAGTTAGGATGTATGCTTTTAGAAGATATTTGGTAGATGTAGAGCAGTTAGAGGCACCTTTGGTGGAAAGTGTTTTTCAAAATTCAGCATATGTCCTTGAGTGTATGCCTAGATAAATTAGCCCAAATTAAATGACAGTATCCAGTGCTTTTCTTAGATTGTACAAATAGGAGCTAGCTTGATTTCTTGTTTGGTTTCCTTGCTGCCTGTCAGGAGATTCTGTCATCACTTTGGCAATCCATATTATTGTGACTTAGGTATGCTGTAATGTTGGGATTTCCAAGAGCCTCTTGAAATAATACAAACTAGGAAGCTGACATTCTTTGTTTGCACTTTATTTTATCTTTTTATGAATTAATATTTGGGTTTTTTAAGAGCTGTATAAGGAAGACATTGCCTGCCACTAGCTGACTTTTGTTTATCTGTTTTTCCACCTTTCTCCTAATAGTAAAAAATTATAGTTAAGTTGCTGTCATGGCTTCAGTTGAAAGATCATGTAAATGTGGCTGGACTGTGTGATAGCCCTTCTCCTCTTGGCTGTTGCAGAGTTACTGGAGCATAGCCTCACTGTGAGTGTGAGAGAGGTTATAGCTCTCACAGCTGAGTAGGTAATTCTTGGATTATGTCATGGATATCGCCAGTAGGAGGATTACTTAGATTAAATGTTGTAGTCCACTGCTTTAACAGAATGTAAATTAGAGGAATCGAATTATAATTTCCCTCATCCTTAGAAGCAAATTTATTTTCTCAATAATACATATTTTATCCAAACATATATACATTTATGAGCTATGATCAAAATAAGTCTGTGTTCATTATTGCAGGTTTTTTTATACTAAAGAACAAGTACAAAAGAAAACAAACAGAATTTTGTGTCTGTAGTAATAATAGTATTAATAGTAACCATGCTTCTTTAAGATCTCTCCCAGACCAAGCCATTCTGATTCTTTGTGACGCTATGATACTGCAGAGAGGAATATATGACCACCTCTCTATTCTGTAGTAGGTTTAATAAACCATGTCGTGATTTTTATTTTAAATAATTAGGGAAAATAGTTTTTTGCATCAATGTAAGCTTAATTAATAAGAACTTACTGAGCTGGCAAAAAGAAACATGTTCATATTGGGAGGATTCAGTGGTTTGTAACTAGTTAGCTGAGTTGCAATAGAGAAAGCCACAACTACTACTGTCAGTGATCTTATACTTTTCCCTTTTTTTCTCCATGATTTGGGGGGGGGTGCAGAACCCTGATGTTGCTCTTGATCTTATACAAGAGTTAGTTTAAAAATACTTCCTTTAGGGTGATGAATTATTTTTCAGCGTGTGCAGTCAGCCTTTTGGCTAGTCCAACTGGTACCAAGAAAGTATTACCATACAGTATCAGTGTGGAGTCCCTACGTGTGGTTGCTTTCAGTCAAAATGGGGTGGGAGGGGAGCCTGTATTTTAATTTTTTTCACTGTCTTTCTAAACAGCTGTATAAAAAAAGTTTTGCAAGTTTAATCTTAATAATCTAAACCCAAAAAAGCAGACACAATCTGTCATAAAATAACTATTAGTGACTAGTTTGTATCCTATAAATCTAACTTGAGTTGATAATATGGTCCATTACCAGCTAACTGCACAGAGTATTTTTCATTTTACACTCTTCAGTTACTTTTTAGTGAAGTGTTAAAAAATATGAAGCTTTTCTCCTCTCTAAAATTGCACACTGTCTGTCTGTTATTAGGGAGATAACAGCTCTTATAAATGTTTCAGTAAGCGTTAAGTAGACAGTTATGTGCACTCTCATTCCACGCTTATTTGCTTACTGTAATAAACTGATAAAATATGTGTGGTTTGTCTCTGTGTATCTGCAGGCATCATGAGTCACATAGATTTCCTTTAGAAATAATGTTGTGTCTGCAGAATTGATTGGTTATTTTCATAAACCATCCAAAGGTACACAAACGACTTCTATTATTTAAACATATGCTGTGTAAGATTTGTAGGAGATTATCTCCTGGTTAGTAGATGCTTCTTGTTCTGTTAACTCTGTGTGGTTTTATTTTAACCCTAGAGTGATTGCTAGTACCTGCTCCATGGGTTTTATCTCAACTACTTTAAAAATTTTAGAATTAAAACAAAACTCTGTTTACCAGACTGATGCAGCTGTTAAATACATCACATTACAGTTACATCAGCCTTTTTCAGCTCAAAATCCTTACTAGCAAGTAGAGGTTTTGAAAACTCCAGTTTTCCAGAATTAAATTGCTTTGTTCAACATATGTATGTTTTATTTATTTTTAGCACTGCCGCATTAAATGCAAGTGAAAATTAATGTTCTGTACAAAGAAAGATGACTTAAACATAATGTCATTATTCTGAGGGTCCTGTGTGGTTTTGCTGCTACGTATAGTATGATGTTGAAAATAAAAGTGAATGGGCTCACAAGCTTTTTATTACTGAAAGAAGAAATAATGCAATAATGAAGGGGGCATAGGCATAGATTAAAATCTCTAAAAATTACAGAAGGGATTCAGTAAAACTTGAATCAGTGTTACAATTTAACTATAGTGACAGTTTTTTCTCTATGTGTATGCATTTTAGGGCAGCTCATCCTGGGTGCCATTATGCAGCACAGGTAGGACAACCAGGGGGTCTGGCCTAGCCAGCACAGGTTGGTAAAAGGCAAAGGTCCAAAAGGCTGAGGCCACTAGTGAGAGGTTCAACAAGGCCCGGTGCTGGGTCCTGCCCTTGGGTCACACCAACCCCAGGCAGCTCCCCAGGCTCGGGCAGAGTGGCTGGAAAGGAGCTGGGGGTGCTGGTGGCAGCAGCTGAACATGAGCCAGGCTGTGCCCAGGGGGCCAAGAAGGCCAATGGCATCCTGGCCTGGATCAGCAATGCTGTGGCCAGCAGGAGCAGGGCAGGGATAGGCCCTGTGTACTCAGCACTGGTGAGGCCACACCTCCGGTGTTGTGTCCAGTTCTGGGCTACTCACTATAAGAAGATCATTCTGGTGCTGGAGCAAGTCCACAGAAAAACAGCAGAGCTGGGGAAGGGTCTGGAGCACAAGTCTAGTGAGGAACAGCTGAGGGAGCTGGGGGTTTTTATCCTAGAGAAAAGGAAGCTCGGGAGGGACCTTGTCACTCTACAGCTGTTTGAAAGGAGGGTGTAGCCAGGTGGGGGTTGGCCTCTTCTCCCAGCTAAATGATAGAACAAGAGGAAATAGCCTCCTGTTTTGCCAGGGGAGGTTTAGGTTGGATATTAGGAAAAAATTTCTTCACTGAAAAAATTATCAGGCATTGGAATGAACTGGCCAGGGAAGTGGTGGAATCACTAATCTTGGGAGTCTTCAGAAAGCATGTGAATGTGACAACTAGGAACATGGTTTACTGAAGATGGTAGGGCAGGATAAGCAGTTGGACACAGAACTTAGATATCTTTTCCAACCTCAATGGCTCTATATTTCTGTATATGTACTTGACTGACTTCTGACTACTTTTTAAGTTTTCATTCCTATTAATAAATATCATTAATAAAGCCAGCCCTAAGTAAACACAAAGAGGCTAGTGTACTGCAAAATACTTTTGTTAACATGAATTAAACATAGATCTTAAACTTGATAATGTAAAGTGGGAGAACCATTTCATGAAATAACTTTTCTATTATGCTTGTCCTGCTCAAATTGAATTGAATATTAAAAGCCAGAGGCTGTGCTTAAAAATAAGGTTTAAATTCCATCTTAAAACTTGAGTTTTGTCATTATTTGAGTAATGGTTTAAATAGCATACTAATTTGACTGCTAATAACCTCTTACTGTTATTGTCTCTTTCTGTGTACCAATGAAGTATTCATTATTCAAGGTATTTCCTTTATTATTTCTTGACAACGTAGGCATTTTTTTGAGAGTTTGACCTTGACGGTTATTTCTAGAAAACTAAGATGACTGTTAATCTGTGGAAATTTGGGAATTCTATTCAAAGATGTTTTTGAGTTTTCAGTAACTGTGAAGGTCCATATGAATTATACCTTTTCCAGTCATTTTGTGTTAGTTGTAAGTCTGGTCATGTGATGTCACAGGTCATTATTTTATAAATATCATTTGAAGTAACTCTGATCTTTCCTTAAAACTTGTGTAAAGGATTCAAATTCACTTGTTTTCATATTTCCTGAACTCCTTACTTTTGAGCTCATTATTTCCTTGTCAGAAGTATCTGGGATTTTGTTTGCACACTGAATGTCTTTTCTTTATGCTTTTTCTGCAGGGTAGACTGCGCTGAAACATCCTTAGGATTTTACTTGTTGCTTCTAGCAGCAAGACTATTTAAAAAGTGTCAGCATCTTTCTGCTCTATATAACTGTGTTTTTACTGTTTCAGCAATGTAATTGTTAGACAACATTTTTTGTGGTTTTAACAAGAGAAACAGAAGACAATTTCTCACTACTTTCACCTTACACAATGAGCTTGGGGATACCCTTGAATTCTGATGCACAGAATGTTTTTTTCTGGAAAAAATATAACTAACTGTAACTCTTAAAAAACGTGATAATTTAATAGCTAACTGTAAAGCTAAAAATTGAAAACAGATTTATAGTGGAAAGTGAGATAGCTACAACAAAGGTATTTTCAGCACCAGAAATGGTTTGAGGCTCTGTGTCTAATGTCTATTACTGCAATTTGTTTATGTATTTCACAGGTTTCTGGTTCACTAAAATTCCACCTTAAAAGCAGGTGCTCTAACTGAGTGAAAAATGCAGTATTCAATTGTCATTTTTACTGTTCTTGATTTACAGCATTTGCTAACTATTGTGGTATACTTAACAGGTCACTAAGCAAGTCTCTGTGTCAACAAAAACACATGAACTGCTTCATCGAATGAGTGGGAAAGGATTAGCAGCCCATTATCACTTCTCAAGACAGCCAGGCATTTTGGGTGATCATATGGTACCTGTGCAAGTGACAGTAATAAATACAACTGATCAGAAGATAGAGAACATTCACATTGGAGAGAAGAAATTACCTCCAGGCATGAGAATGCATGAGTTTAATCCAATAGGTAACCATATCCTATCTTTAAAAATTCAGGTTCTTAATCTTCAGCAAAATTTCAAATACAGGAAAGTGGTTTTGCATAGTTACATGTATACTCATATATGTGTGTGTGGTGGGGAGGGTAGGTGTACATATCTACACAGACACTCATCAGCTATCAACTTGTTAGGACCAAACCTTTCTGCATCCCTACAAACTTTTATTCTCTTACTTATTTTAGACTGGCTATTATGGGCTTCCATTAAAAAGGAGGTTTTGATTTTATATTCACAATTATTTTCTTAGTAATCTTTAAGTGATTCTAAATGTATTGTATATATTGGTGGCTCAGAGCATTGCCGTTTCCTGTGAGCTTATCACAGTAGAGTGGAAGCCTATGTTTTGGTTTAGCTTTTGTCTACCATAGTTCCACAAATTGTGTCTGCTTAGATTAGATAGAAAGCAATGTGTAGTCAGACCTGATCTAAATTGTTTTACTTTCTACTTTGTAATCAGGATGGTTTTTTGCTAAATTTCTCTGGAAAAGAGTATAAAACTTCAGAAAGAACACAGAGCACAGCAAGATTTTTCAAGAGTAATACCTATATACACAATCTGCTTTCTTTGCTCAACAATTCTTTATTTTAGGACATTGTGGTATAATCAGAAGTGTCTCTCTTTCATAATAAAAATTCTTTTCCTTCAATGAGCTACACTATTATGTGAATATGTATCATAATAGAAGAATACAGAAACATGTTCTTAAAGCAGAACAGTGAACTAAAGAGTATTCTTTAAGCTTTTAAGCTTTTAGCTTTTAGCTTTTAAGTAGCTAAGATGTTTGTATTAAATGGTTCTAAATATTGAAATTATTTTTTTAACATAGAAAAGATTATGCAGATTTACACCAAATAGCTACAAAAGCAGTTGTCCAGTGCTATAGTTTATATCAGAGTTTAAATTAATAATAATAACTTTTTGCATCTTGATAATGATGTGTACTTGATCAAGGCAGTTACTTTTAGAATTCTGTTAGTTTGAGTTTTTTTAAGTGAACATTTTGCTGCTTATTCCTCAAAATAAGTCCAGCTCAAAATTGAAATGTCAAGTTAGTTTTGCCCATGGGCTTTATTTTATATCCCTATCTGCAAACATTTTAAATAAATAAAGGACAAAGGCTTACAAGTAGAAATCTAGAAATACTGTAAATCAGATCAGGAGATACTATAGCCACAATAGTATAGCAATTAACAGTAGCCCATTGTTACTGTTTCCCACAGTAACCACAGGAGATACTATACCCACAATCCTAGCAATTAACAGTAACATTCACTTGTCTCACATAAAAGCATGGGGGAAAAATGTGGAATTAATCAATTATCCACTTCAGGTTCCTTGACCTCCACAAAGCAATCTTACCCTCTAAAGTATTTATTTCTCCAAGAAAGACATTGCAGTATTTGTCCTGAAAAGCTGTTGGTTTCTTCTGCAGAAAATAAGCTCTGTAGTTCTTCCAAAAATGTTATTTTTCTTGCTTGAATGCAAATTTTCTGTATTCTTTATCATTTTGTGTAGAACTAAGCCTATACACCCTGTTCTTACTACATTTTGTGTTTCCAGTGTTTGGAAAACACATCCTACCACTTACCTAGCAGACCCAACAGAAGAAGTGTCAGCATAGACAGGTATTCCTGCTGGAATATAAGTCTAGTTTTTCTTCAGTCACTGAAAGTACTGTTGGCAATGGTCCTGATTCTTCCAGTAGAAATGGTTCAAATTATTTCACCCAAATCCCTGTGCACAACACTTTCTTGTTCTTAAGTGTGTTTGAAACGCCCTTTGAAAACATTAAGCTCAAAGACTTTGATAGAGTTAATTCTGAATTTGAGCTGGAACCTTTAAACTTTCAGTGCTTTAAATAGACTCCTTGGAATACTTTTTTTCCTACTCAATTCCTAGTGTTAGTTTAGACTTCAGCCAGGAGCATTAACTCCATCTTTTCTGCATTTTTGCAAACCTAATCTTCAAATAGTTAAATTTTGTTACATTTTGTGATGGAGCAGCTGTCTGCTTTTAGTTCCTGAAAAGTATCAGGTACATTATGAATAATCTGTAAATCAGACATTTTGCTGCCTGCGTATTATTTTTCATTTTAATTCCTCTCTTTTAAGTGTGCTTTCAGCTATTTGTTGTAATCTTGAGAAGGCAAAGTCTGCTTCAATGCTTCTTTTTACTTATGTACGAAAGAGCTTACAAGGAAGCTTACAAGCCTTTAACTAAAAGCTTTATCTCTACAACATTAGGGAAATAGTGTGGTGATTTAGCCAAGAATCTAAGAATGAGTATGTCTCTTGATATCTTCATTGCCAAGAGTGTCTCAGTCTGCACTGCTTGTATAGCACAAAGTCATCTGCCATGTAGTGTTCATAGTCCTTCTTCTCCCTTCCAGCTAATGCAAGTAGAATATTGAGGCACAAGTAAACCACAGTAATTATGAACTTTTTAAGTTCAGCTTATTTTCTATTGTGTGTATTAATGTAGATTTATTTGTTGTATTTTGCAATTTACTAACTAAATCTGCAAACCTGTGTTATTGAAAATGAAATCTCAGTGCTGGATCTGTGCACAGTTACAAGGATGTCACTTCAATATTTTTCTTTTCTGTAGATAACGTTCCTTTCTTTGCTTTTCTAATACAAGGCCTTATTCTGTTGATAGAGCTCTAGGACTGAAGTGGCAGCATTTCATGTGCATTAACAGTGTGAGAGGGGGAGTCCAGGATGCTTAAACATGCAAGTGTGACATTTGGGCAATGCCTATTTGAAATAAAACTACAACTGTTGGATTTTTTTCTTACAGAATATTTTGGGGGTTTTAGTTATGTGAAGTTTGGGGGATTGCATCTGATGTCTTCTGTTGCCTTGCATGTGTACTTTCTCTCTTAAAAATCTCTTCATGCAGAGTGTCTTGAGCCTGGAGGATCCATTATTGCTACAATGGGGATTGACTTCTGTGATTCTACCCAGACAGCGAGTTTCCAGTTATGGTAAGTTCTTGGGAAGGGGAAGGTAATTTTTTGCTCCTGGAAGGTAAAACTAGTGTTCATTGGAAGTCTACTTGGTGTTATCAGACTCACTATTTTATTAAATATTCAAAGAATTAAACAAAATTTACAACATTATATATATCCACGATGTTTTAAGAGAAATAGCACATTATTAGTGTTCAGTTTTACTTTTAGAAGCTTTATTTTTTTGTCCCACTCTTCTAGGGATTCTTGTTAACATTGTCTGGAAAGGGGCAGTCATGTCTGACTATTCTATTTTAGTGTTTTGTGTGTGTTCTCCCTTGTAAGAAACAACAGGTCAAAATGACACATAGTGTGAGCAGTTTTACTACCCTGAGTCTTTATTATGGGTGCTTATGGTTCCTCTAACATGACTGCCTGAAAACAACCCCAAAATTTGCCCACGAAAGAAATGCTGTAGATTCTTTTAAATCAACAGTGAGAATGAAACCAAATAATTGGCTGGCCAACTAAATCTTGTCTAATATGCCTGATTTACATTTTTTGTGCTCATTATTGGCATGTGCAGCATCCTCTTTCTGCCTTAGGCTAGCAGGGGGAACCCATTCACCCAGTGAGAGTTCTGTTACAAACTGGCATTTGAAAATGGGTTAATTTCAACATTGGGAAAAAATGGATGGAGAGAAATGGATGGGAGAAAACTTGAAACCTTCTTTTAGGGGATTGTCAGGTTTATGGAGTTTTTAAACTGTGCAAAAGCATATATAGGCCTACACAATTTAATTTTTTTGACATATTTTGAAGTAATGGATTTTTTATATGTTTTGTTGCAAGAAACACAGCTTCCAATATTCAGTACAAAAAGAGGGATATTGAATAGACAGTCATATTGCTGCATTTCAGTTTAAGGGAAGCCCTTTGTGAATGTTCTATACTTCTTCCTTTGGAAAATTTCTGTAGCAATTTTAGTATACTTAGTAGCTGTGCTACTAAGCACAGCTTGTTCAACTGATAAGTTATTGGAGATAGCATGAAAATCCTAATTATAGAGATGTACCCAAGTGATTCCTAAAGTACCACTGCTAAAATAACATTTCTTGTTCTGGGGGCAAGGAGGTTTTACTATTCTTGTACAGCAGATGCTCCTGCATAGTCACTTTACACATAGTTGTACTTCCAGCAAAATCTCTGCTGCATGTAGTTTATGCACATCATGCTGTTATAACTGGTCTGTATGCTGTCTGCTGGAATTTGGAAACTGCTTTGAACTGTTGCCTGATGTTTGTTTAGGAAGGAGGTTCCCTTTCAGGCAGTGCAGTTTCAAAATTGCTTCAAAATCATAGACGCTGACTCTCTTTATCTAAATAAATTTTGAATTTTATAAAATAGTATCTTCTTGATAGTTTATCAAGCAGAAATATTTTTAAAATAAAGCAGCTATTTTTCTTTCAAGTACGTAATTTCAGTCTACCAATGATTTGATTTTTAACTTACACCATTTGTTGCTAAGAATCTTAGCAGTGATGAGGATAAGCAATGTAGCATAACACATTGATTTTATGCAGATCATCACCTTTATGTTTTGGGAGGTCTGCTGTATTAGTGATATATAAAAACTGATTACTTTCTCCAACATTGCCTAGTAATTGTTTATTATTTTCCTATTAGACAAACAAGACAGATCAATATTCCTGAACACCAACCAGACTATGAGTAACATCACTGTAAATAGATTTGCCTCAGACCTCAGTGGTGTATTCATTTTAATGATTTAGACAATGTGAGTCCAATGACAAAAGCGCTCAAGCTAAGTTTAAAATTAAATTAAGAATAGGAATTGCTTGCTTTGTTCGTTTACTAATTGATAGGGCCTTGTTTCTTTGCTGTTAGTTCCTAGAAAATAGTATAAAAATAGGTAAAATGTTATTTGCATTAAATTTGCTATTTTACACTGAACACTTATTTTGTTCAAAATCCTACTGATCTTCATTATCACTGAAGAAACTGTGCGCTGTGATGTTTTGGGAGAAATGTCTTAAAGAACTCAGCTGCAGGCTCTGTAACTTATTATACTTTTCAAAAAGCTTTATCCAAAAGAAGGAATGACTTCCAGAAGTTTGTCAAATGTTGTTGAAATAATGTGCACACAAAGGTGTCTATATTCCTGTATTTCCTATTAACATATCTCTATGAAAGATGTTGTCAGTTATTTTACATTTTTGCTAGAAGCATATTCAGCAGTAAAGTGTTCCTGATCATAAGAATTTTCTTTACGTTGTTCTAAGAGGAGCACTTTATCTTGCATCAAATGTAATTGATCCTGAAGCAGTGTAATCACAATTACTCACTTTCTTAATTGGCCTGCCCAAAATCAGAAAATGGAAACCGATCGGCAGTGTTTAAATCAATAGCTTTGTAGTAAAGCTTGTGGGGGTAGGGACATAGTGGTAATGGGTAGATCAATTGGTCTTAGATGCCAATCATGGACTGTGTGTTTTGCATAGCAAACACTACCCTTCAGCTTAGGGATGTACTGTTGTACTAGGGGTTCAATAAATACAAACTCTATAAAGAAAAAAACTAACATGAGTCATAGAATATTTAGATCTTTTTCTGAATTTGTTGTACAAGTCAAGGACAATGAAGGAGAAACTGCAATATAGAGGTTTGAAGGAATGAGCTTTAAAAGACCTCCTGCTCAAATACTATTTTTGGTAAGCAAACCTTACCAAGATCACACATCTAATTGAAGTAGGGTGAAATGCCTCAACTTGAAAACTGTGGCTAATGCATTTATTTAGAATGTATATTAGGATGTTCACAGCATGTACTTGTGAGAACATCTCTTCATTGTTATTTTTCTTATGCCACTTCCTTCCAGAGGCAGCTATTTCAGCCACACTGGTGTTCTGCATGATAATGCCTTTCAAGCAGAAAGTTAAAGAGGAATAAATGGAGGGATTGAGCCTTTTAAAAGATTTTTGAATGTTACTCTTTGTCTTTGTGTTACTTTGTTCTCATTTTGCAAGCAGGATATACACAGTTTAGGAGTTTAGAGCAATTTGTTATTGGCTAACTCATATGCAAGGTAGGTTGCTACCCTGTTGAATTATAGTTAAAGTTTAGTATATTCACCATCCAAGTAAGAGACCTGAGCCTTAGCTAAGCAGGTAGGCATCAGTTGAGCAAAGAAAAGGTTGGAATGGATTCTTGATATAACAGACTATCTGCAATACTCCACTGACTGTGGAACTACTTCCTTTTTTCCCCATGTCAGATCTTAAAGATTTCCATGTTAGTTGAATCCTTGAGCTCCTAGTGTTCACCATGTCAACAATCCTACCACTTGTGTTATCTTTATTGTCTTGCATGTCTCTGCTTTTCAGATATTCTCAAGTCTTTCTCTCAGCTTACTAGTTTTTTGAGATGTCTGAACAACTATATGGGAGCTCTGCTATGTCAAAATTTTGCCCATGGATCCTTGTAATGAAAATATTTGAATCCCTTAAGATGAAAGACAGGGAAGGTTATAGAGACAGAGAGTTAGAGCCCTTACATGCCCTTACTCTATTTTTGTATGTGTATTTAGCATTATTAATTTCTGTCTATGTTTCTATAACTCAGTAGGCAAATCTCCAATTTCTTGTAGGCATGATGAATAACTAAAGGTAAAGAGATGTAATTTTTATAACATTGAAAGTTTATCTTTACATTTTCTGTCTTATTCTTTTCCCTCCTCTCTTTCCAAATTACCTTAGTTGTTCCCAAAACCATAAAAGAACCACAGCTTTAAAGATAAAATTAAGTTACAGAGAGCCTGGTTCTCTTCTTTTTTCTGTTCTTTTGAAAAGTACGCAGGGAGTTGTTTAGCTTTCTTTGAAACTGTTTGGTGTAGGAGAGATGTCCATGCCATGCATCTCTCTCCCTAGTTTTGATTTTGCATTTCCTCTCCCTAGTTTTCTCAAGGTTTAAGTGTAAAAAAACACAACCAGAGACCCCAAGAAGAAAAATCAAATGAAAGCAACGGCTTTTGTGCTTTTCATTCTTTTTCAAAATAATTTGGTAATTGGAAAATAGTGTGACATGACAGAGGTTTTTTAGCTGGTTACCTTATATTGGCATTTCTTAGTGTCTCAGTGTCATCAGAAGGACCCGCTCCTTCTAATGAGGAGAATACATACTCTTGTATGTCTGTTCATTTAGTCTGTCCTGTCCTATATAAAGAAAACATTTTGCTGATTACTCCAGAAGAGTTTGGTGTAGCAGAAAGAATCTAGCAATTCCTTAAATGAAGTAAATTCTGTGAATGAGATTTTAAAACTTTGTTCAGCCTGTTCTCTGCAGGTTTTATCTTATTTTAGAAGCTTTTGTTCTGAATTTTATTTTCAATGGAAGAGATTTTTTGCAGCATGAAATTTGCTCGCTTCACTCTGTGTTGATGTAGAAATCTTCCCAAGCAGAACTTCTACCTGCAAAGCAAGTAAATGAAGAGGGTTGGTTGGGTAGCAGTCAGTATTTCTGTTGAGTGCAAACATGCATTCAGGTGTAGATGCTTCCACAAAAGCATCTGATTAAAACTATGTAGTGGAATATGTTATGGAATATATTAAAAACTAATGTTAGAGATGCAGGATTTTCTTCGGATCACTGTCACTTGCATTTTCACTTTTTTCTTGCTGTTTCCTTCCCTAGTGCTTTCTCAGCAGATCACCAAGTTGCTTATAAATGTAAGAAAAGCAATCTGGTACTCTTCTCTTTATTTCATTATTCTAAAGTAGTCAGTTGGCCCTATTCCAAAATTATGCCAAGATAAATGGCTGACCTGGAAAAAACAAGGCTGGACATGAACAACTGCTTTCATTTGTTCTATTGCTTTGGCCTTTTTCTCATGCAAAAGCAGGATGCAGTCCTTTCCTTTCTTCAGCAAGACTAAAGTCAAGTCCCCTATACTTTTCTATTCCATATTTTGTTTTGCAGGAAATTAATTCTCTCTTAGTGTTGCTCTTCCTCTCATGTTCTTTTTTTTAACATGTGTGGAGATTTTTGTGAATACAAGACAAAAAAAATAAGCTGGTTTGGGAAAGATATATTCTGGGGCAAGCTGCTGCTAGGAGTGAAACAAAAAAGGATAGTAATCAAGAGCAAGAATATTCCCAGTCTTATTAGAATACTAATTTATTAAAAGCCTTGGAAGTTAAAATTTTAACCACTGCTATTGTGGAATTTTCAAAGAAGTAATTGACAAGTGTTAGCATTATTTACTTCAGTTTTAAAGAAGATTTTGCCATCACTGTTCTAAAGTTATGGTAGACAACTTCTTTACCAGGAGCCCTTCAAAGCCAATTCTTTATAAAAAGCAACTAAACTGAGAGGAGAAAAGGAATAGCCAAGAGTTTCAAATGGCAAGTGCTAGCTACAGACGTGTGCAGAAATCTTTAAACTGTGCATCTTCTGAAGGGCTGAATCTTAGTCTTGCAGTGTCAGTTATCGTGGAGCTAGTAAGTCTCCCTTGGTTCCTGTGGGAGCATTATTGTCTTTGTCTCTCCTTTGTTCACCTTGATGTATGCATCAGAAGATAAATTCATGTGATACTTGCAATTGAGTCATGAAAGTGATGTTAGTCTTTTAAAAATATAATATGTACAGTTTAGCAGTTTTTAAGGAGTCGGGAAGAGTAACGATGTGTAATGTCATTTGCCTGTAAGTTCACAATTAAATACATAACAGATTTTGCAAGCTACTGTTAGAAAGGTACTGTTATAAGACATCCCCAACTGTTTGATCCTTTTAAAGCTTCCCTCTAAGAACTTCTCATTAAGTATTCATGTTCCTCTAAGGCTGTAACTTACCAAATTATTGCACATGCTAATACCAGAAAACACGGTGTTTAATTTTTTAAATCAAAAACCACATTCTGTTGCCCTGAGAAACTTTGGGTATTTTTTCTGGTAAGCTACTTCACCTTTATCTTTCAGGAAAGTTAAAGCAACACTACCTGAGAGATGCTTCAGTGAAGCTTGAACCAGTTGTCCAGTAGATTTTTAAAAGTTAATGTATTTTTTTGTATAAACATCATTTATATTAATGAGATTCTTGAAAAAATAAATGATTAAGTTAAATACACTGAAATTTAGTTCACTAGGTATTGGGGGAAGTTAAGTATTTGTATTCCAAGCCTCAATTTTATTCTCAAATTTCTTCATTAGATATCTGATGAAATCTCCATCTTTGGAGATACTCAGAGCTCAAATGGACAAGGCCATGAACCAAGTGAGCTAAGGTGACCCTTGCTTAAGCAGGAGGTAGAATCAGGTGATTCCTAATGCCCCTTCATATTGTGCTTCTCTGGAATTATGAAGTAACTTTTGTTAAATTAAATATTATGAGCTCTCTAATATAAAGATGTAATAAAAGAGATGCAGATCAACTAACAAAAGCTGTATATTTAATCTGTGAAGTGTCTGATAAAGAGAACCTATAAGGAAGGATGATTTTCTGTAGCTGAGAAAGAAATTTACTGTAGGACACTGGAATTAAAGTAATGCAAAGTAACCCAGATGCTGACTAAAGTGAAATTAAGAACAAAGTGGTTTTGAAGAACAAATAGCAATCAGAATTTCTGTTTGTAGGCTATGAAGAGTTCACGTTTTATCAAAGAATATATATTAGCTATTTATTCACTAGAGGAAATGGAAGTGGAATGTTTGTTAACAGCAGAGGTGTCAAGTGGTCCTCTTAAGCAGTTATGGACATAAAAAATCCAAGCGGTACTCATGCTTTTATTCCTTCTTGTTGTGGAAATATTGTTATAAGCATTAAAGCAATCTAATAATTGATGTTATAAGTCAAGTTTATGTACAAATGGCATCTCTCCAGTCAATGTGGGACATAAATCATTGTACGCAAAATGGTTTATCTGTTTCATGCTGAATTATGTAGAGTACATCTTGCTTAAATATGAAACATAAGATTGGTTGAACAATCAGTTGAAGAGTGTAAATGAAGGTATTGTTGAAAGTGTTAGTCTTATAGTCCAAGTAGTAGGTATGAATAGCAAAAAATTAATGAGGCAGTTGATTAAAGACTCTTCCATCAGCTCTTAAGATGATTGAGTTGTTAATCACTATTCAAAAGAAAAATTAAAGAAAAAATAGTTCTTGCTTATTTTACTGTGCACTTAATTGGGCTAGATAATCAAACAATCCCTGTTCTTTTATTATAATAATGACTTTAGAGACAGATGGCATTTAAGGTAGTACGGGGGGGGGAGATTAGTATGGGGGTAAAAAAGTTTGAATTTGTTAGCTTTTAAAAGCAGCGCTTAATAAATGATTTTTTATAAAGGAAGTACTGGGAGTTTGAAGGGATTGGTTCCGTGTATGTGTACTAAATAGCAGTTCTCAGAGAAGTTAGCATAAATGTCCCATTTTATTTGAATAGCTCATACTTGAGACTGCACTCATAAGCATAATTATAACACATCGCAAGCTAGAAAATAAGGACGTAGTAGTTCCTAAGCATTTCCTTTTGTAAATGGGTAATTACAATAAGTATTAGAATTGTGAGTAGAAGGACTGTAAAATGCTTCTCTGTTTCCAGGTGGCTTGTCTTGCATCTTTAGGAGGGAGACGTGTGTTTTCTATACTATTGATCTGGTGTTTGCTTTCATCAGTCTCTAGTTTCAGAACTTTGAAATTGCAGAGTTATAAAATATCAGTAACACATATTTTAGGTTAATTTAAATAACATGGATGTTAATGGATGAAATGTATTTTCCATTCTAATGATTGTATCATTATATTTAAGTAAGATATCTGAGGCATATCATCAATCAATATATATTGACTATTTGGTACACCAGGAAAAAAAGGAAAGTGTTCTTTTCTAAAAATTTCTCAGGCCTTAAAGCATTAACAAAGATTCTGACTGGATGTACTGATCCTGAATTGCTAGGCAAATCCCTTATGGTACAATTAGTCAATGAAACATAGCAGGGTGAATGTATCTTGAGTTCCTGTAGATTTTAAGAAGTCTCATACAAAATAGTTGGAAACTTAGGGAATTGAATGGATAGTGAGAGGAAGTTCACTATATGATATTTATTTCTTAAGGAGAAATGTGTAACTTTTGGTAGTATTGTGTAACTCTGCCATTTAAAAAATGTTCTGCAGTTTTCCAGCGTGCTTTTACATTAACCAGTATGCTCTGTGATTTTGTTTAAATACACCAAATACTGTGAAACCGAAGTTACCAAAAATATTTCTCCTTTACTAATGTATTTATTGTTTGGCTTGTTTGTGGGTTTTTTTCCAGACAATATCATCCTTTTGTCTGAAATTATATGTTTTCAATGTTTACTCCTATTTCTAGAACAGCTGTAGCTGATGACAGAATGCATAACAGTTCTCTCAAAGGATTTGTGAAATGCACAATAATTTGTCCTTTGCAAGCATTTAGATTGTGTGTGATGCTTTGTAGGTTGCAAATAAACATTGATTTGAATAAAAGTTATATTTTCAGAAATGCAAGACTATGCCTACCACATTTGTACTGGAGAAAAATGGATCAGCTTTACTAATGTAAGAAGTTTGCTTTCAAATTTATAAGTTAGAAATCGTACAGGTTGTTTTTATACTTTATCATGGTTTTACAGAAAATTTGAAACTGATATATGTGTATTTATTAATCAGTGTTGAAGCACCTGGTTGATTCTCTGTAATTTCTCTTTTCTAGCACAAAGGATGATCACTTCAATGTTAACATTCAACCCCCTGTTGGAGAACTGCTCCTGCCTGTCACTATGTCAGAGAAAGATTTTAAGAAAGAGCAAGGTGAGAAATACTTCAGCAGCTTCAGTGAATTTACTTGGGAAGAGAGCTGCATGCATTTCAATTTCCAAGCATACAGAAAGCGCTTCCAGTTGTAAGTGGTTGAGACTGTTAGTATTCACTCTGACAAGTAGTTTAAAAGTATCTTGAGAAGGATGTGTCATGATATAATGCCGTCTTTAAAGATCAAAGCCCACACTTTACCTTAAAACAGTCTTTCGGCTCAAAGCCTTTTGGATTCCCATCATAAAGTGTGAATGCCTTTCCTACCAGCAGTAAAACAGAAACTTGTGATGCCAGCTCAAGGAAATTAACCATTTATACAGTGGTATTGCATCGGGTTTTACTGTTCTTTATTCCAATACTAATTTTCATACTTAATGTACCTGTTCCTTAGCTTCTTTGAAGATTGTTTTAATCTTTTCACTTTCAAACACTTCATATATAAAAACTACTCATGTTGGAATACTGGTTTTTATACTTCTGCATTCTACTAATACTGTGTTTTCAAAGAATTTAAGTCTTTTATACTAATCCAGACACAAACCCCCATAAGAGCTTTTAGTGACTTACATATTTTATTCAAAATGTTGTGCTTAGGTTTGACCTAAAATTGTGCTTAGGTTTGACCTAACCATATGTTAAATGGAATAGTCAGTACTGCTGTCCTTAATTTGGATATGATTCTTGGATATTTTAAAATATAAGTGGTTACATTTTGGATGCACTCAAATGTAGTAGTGTTTACTCATATATCTCAATGTATGGGGATTTACATGTGTATGTCTCTTCACATTGAGATGAGAATATGCCCATGGGATCCTGTCTCATTGCTGTGTAAGGCTCAGAAACTCAGTATATCCATCAAGCAGTCAAGAACACCAACGAGTAATGTTATGTATTATTAGTTATTGCCTTTGAGCATTTCTTGCTTTTGTGTTATTGAATTATTAAGAAAGTAGTTTAAATACTGTCTAGATAATTTGCAGTTAAGCTTATGGCTGCAGTGAAAAGTTAGGATTGTGCTTTGTTTTCATAACCAATTGATACTTATTTGCTGTTCTTACCCTTTGCTGGCTAAAGCCTGCCTCTCTGCTTTATACCTGCTCAGCAAACCAAGGTGAGTGATTGAACGAGGCTGTGGTACATTTATTTTAAACTGTTCCCTTCTAAAAATTGTAGCTGGGGTTGTAGTGAAAAAAAGGCAGGTTACTATGCTTCTTCCCTCCCTGTTTTCATGTTTGCTTGCTTTGTGGTATTCTGATAGAGTTTTTGTATGCTTTACTGTAACTGAGGGCTTTTTTTCCTCCTGACTGGCCATACAGAACCATGAACACATAGAAGAAGTGTACTTGGAGAATAGCTATGGTCCTCTGTGGAGTTGTTGCCAAAATTCCTTTTTCTTCTGCCATTTTACTTCTATGGTTGTTGATTATTTGTCTGAATAAATCTGGCAGCTGTTTGCTATGTTTAATAGAGCAGAAAGGCTACTCTGAATAAAGCTATTTGAAAATTTGTTTATATGAAGTATTTGTAAATCCATGAAGGTCTCTTGGCATTTCTGTATCGCTTGCTCTGTCTTCCTGAATTCATTCTTTGATACAGGACTTTTCAGGCTGGCAAATTTACTACAGGTTTAAAAACCTTTCCTATTCCATCTTTTTTCTTATGGATATCAGCTGTATCAGAATATTCTTTGTAACAGAGATCTCAATTCTACATTTTGCATTCGTATTTATTACAAAGCTTTAGGAACAGGTAGCATATGGGAAGAATTACTTTGTGTTCTTGCTAAATGAAAAATCCAAATTACAATAATAAATGTAGGACAGTTTAGAAGTTGGTATATGCTATTCTGTTTTGTGTTTAACTTCAATTTGCCTGTATTCTCCAAATGAATCTGATTTATATAACTTGTTTTTCACTTGTCATGCTTTTTCCTTTTTTTTTTCCTTTTTTTCTTCTTTTTTTTTTTAATTTGGTTGGTTGGTTTGTTGGTTGGTTTGTTTTGTTTAGTTGGTTTTGAATGTGTTTCAAGTCCTGTATCTGGAGATGGTTTTATTTGTTACCAAAACAGATAGGTAAAAAATACTGAAGTGTTTGAGGAGAATATTAGAAATGCAAGGAGAGAATGAAAATATGTATGGGTTTTAAGGATTTTTACATCTAAATTGCATGTGTAACCTAATATGAATGCTAAAGAGAAAATAGCTGGTATTATACTGCTATGTAGAAGACAATTCATTGCTACACATCTTTATTCAATTACACTCTGCTGTTTTACATTGTCTGTTACATTTGTATATGTCCATTTTCTTCCTGATGGCATAAAGACAGAGGAGCAGACAGGTTATTGAATATTCATGTCTGTGAAGCTTATCTGGTCATAGCAGCAGAACCTCAAAAGCTGTTTTTGTCCACATGCTGTGCATGATATGCTTAGCTTTGCTGCACCATCTCCCCTTTCCTTTCTTCCTGAGCTCAGAATCCTCTGGTGGAGTAGTTCCCTGGAAAAGCAACTGAGTTAGTAGTTGTTGTGATTGACAATTTGGAATGAATGGATTAAAATGGATTAAAATATTAAACATTCTTTACCTTTTTGCTCAAGTATTTTTTCTGATCCTTCAGGACTCAGAATTTTATAGCCTGTTTTACATCACATCCCCATGAAAAGTCAAATTGCCATAGCAGGAATTCTGCATGAGTGGAACATTTAGTGTTGGGAGCTCTGTATCCAGATTTCAGCTTGTCTGTTGTTTTTGAAATTCAGTAGCAAAACTCTCTTTCCCTCAGTTCAGAATAGGACTAGTCTTGCTGGCTAGCATACCTTGTTGCCCATCACTGTAATTTTACCAATTTAATCTTCTTTTATTATTTAAAATACATAGTTATTTCATCATATCAGGTGGCTAACCTAGACTAGTTCATGCTTTGTGCTCAGGCTAGAGTTTTCTTGGATTCTTGTGTTTCAGGTAATATTAAATGTGTCATGTGATTGTTATAGCTGAATATTAATCAGAATTTTTATTATGGCATTTTTAAAATAGGCAATTAAAACTACTTTAGGATTTTTTTTTCTCTCAAGAGACATGTTTTTAAATAATTTTGTCAACTTTTTTTTAGAAGTGTATACCTGAATCACATTTAAAAAAAAACCAAGCCAACACCAAAACCCAATCTTGGTTAAGTAAACATATACTTTACCTAATTTTATTAAAATTGTATATATAAAATTTGTTTTCCTAAAAAGCAGGATGCTAATTCTTTAAATGGTTGGACATTTACTATTTTCTGGCCATTGACTACCCCAAGCAATCATATTTGATGCTCCTTAATTAGAGTAGCCTTTTTTATTTCCAGGTTCTTTTCCACCTCAGCAATCGAGACAATGCATTTGCTTACCACGCTGCTCTCCTAAGTGTTCTTTTGCATGTAAATTAATCTTGATTCAGTTTACACTGTCATGCTGAGTGGTACAAATTGCCTATAACAATAAAACAGCATGAGTTAAAAATAAAGGGGGGTGAAAAAGCAGATTGAATGTGTGCCTTACTTGATAGGATGTTACTTTGCTTTATGCCAATACATTAGTCGACGATAATGAATCTTCTGTTCTGAAAAGCATGGTTTAGTTGATTTTTTTAATTTTACTTCAATGGAGCAGTACCTTGTCTTTTATAGAACAAGTTAGACAAACCATTAATGACAAGAGTGTTAAGGTTAAATATGAAGCAATGCATTCACTTCTCTGAGTGCTATCCATCTTTCCATTTACAGGAGCTTGACAAAAGTACTGGCTTTGTACAACATTTCCTTTAATTACATGCTGCGGGAAACAGGCTTTTAACATAAACATAGTTGCATTCATTTATTCAGCATTTGCTCTTCAGTAGAGCCTAATGGAGAAGGTTTAAATCCTAAATAAGTACACATATCTCTCAGCAGTGTTATGTCAGTCCCTGTGCTCTGCTTAAAAGCAGTCTTAGTCTGTGTATGTAGTTTGTAAAGCTTTTGCCTAATAGTTAAACAATTTGAAATAGAATGTTCTACTCAAGATAAATCTGATTGTTATAAAAGTTGTATGCAGATTTTTGTTCTCTTTCAAAAATCCTATTATTTACTCATCAGCTGTTCCATTTTTACTTTCATATTTGTTATTCTGTGACAGCAGCACATTCCGGGGCATTAAAATACTGGATTTATTTTTTTAATTGTTCTTATTAAGCATCTTGGTATTACTATTTCCTCTGGGTTAGAACTGTATGTGCAGCCCTAAAACATTGGCCTTTTGAGACTTTTATGTTGTTTTCATTGTTAGTGTTCCTTCAGATGCTTCATATTTCTGCCTGAAGTACCGTGCTCCTTTGTTTGCCTGCATTTTCAGCTTCTGAACATACTGTAAAAAGGCACTCACAGTGTTATGTTGTAGTTACTGTTGTGTTTTAATCAACATGAGCATCTAACAAATCATTCTTCTAAACAATGGATATTGATAGAAAAGCGTGAGTTTCGTTAAAATGTCCTTGAATGTCATATCCTTCTGTACTTTTTCTTCATCGTATGTTTGGGTGTAATCTTTAAATTTCTGTTCCATTTTGTAGTCATATTCAAATAATTTTACTCAAATAGTTTATGTTGATATTTTAGAGCTGGATGCTAACTGAATTTACCAGTTTCTAATGTGCTGACTTTCTCTTGAATAACTAAATTGAATGAATTACTACTATCTGAATTCAATGATAATTTTTAGCAGTTGGATATAGAATTATAATTAAATGTATGATTGAAAGATTATAAAGGATCTTTGTGTATGTTCTCACTTAAGCTGCACCTTTCCAAATCAGTCTTACTTAATATTTAATTTCTGCGTTTTCATTCTTCTTTTAAATTAAGTTTTTTATGAGAAAAAAACTGCCTTGGTTTCACAGTTGCATTAGTATCACAGATGTCATTGTTCGGCTATTACTAATTTGTTTCTGATAGAAGGTCATTGCAAGTTAGACATTAAAGTAAGATAATTATGTGAGTTCTTATGAAATTGTTTTCTCAATAAATTATCCAACTTTTAATGCCTTGTTTTTTGTTTAGGTGTCTACTATTTTGGTTTAATGCTTAATAAGTGAGCAAATCTTACTGTATTCATAATTGAATACTTAATGTTTCAGGAATGCTGACAGGAATGAATGAGACATCTACTACAATAGCTGTTGCTCCACAGAACTCTACTAGACTTGTAATAATTGAGAGAGTAGTGAAAGCAGCTAACCTGGGTGTAGTTCCTTCTGGTCAAGATAACATACACAGGTAAGATTGTTTGTTATTTAAAGTATCACTATCTTTTAATATTAATTTGTTAGTTCAAAATTCATCAACATTTGATAATATTAGAGAAAATTTTATTACCTATACTCTAAGGAAGAAGCTAGCAAATTATACTGAAATATATAATACTAAACATATAGTAACTTGAGACTAAGTACTCTGCAGCTCATTAATTGAGTGTATATCGAAGTGTCTATACTTTAGTGAACACAGAGGAAATTTTCCATCCCTTTTTTTGTTTCAAAGGGAAGAAGTAGCCTTTTAGAAGACAGTACTTTATAGAAGGTTTTGGGGGATTTTTTAACTTTTGTTTCTGTTTCCTATAGTAAGTATCCTGCTCTAGTTTTATCATCTGTGAGGAGCAACTTATTTTCCAGTATTAGTTTTTTGCTTTCCTACATATATATCTGCAAACAAAAACAATTACCTGCCAAGAAAGTCATTGGCCCTGTCAAATTTCCAGTTTTTACTTGTAGATTAATCCATTTCATCCAAATGTTATGATACAGAATGTGAGTGGAATTATTGCAATTGTTAGTTAATGACAGCTTTTAATGTGATTAACTCAAAATATTTAGTCCTGTGAATCTGTATGGCTTCTCACTTGTGGCAGGAACAAACAGATTAACCTGGTCTTGAAATAAGAAAGCGAATACATTTGCCTTACCATCTACTAAAACTGTTCACTAAATTCTGAATTATCTCTAGTCCCCTGAATTTTGCTATTCAGTAAAAGCAAAGTATCTTCCTTTAAAGAAAACAACAATCTTTTGTTTGAAATTTTGCTGACTGAGATGGCTGTTTGAAAGGGTGAGAATTCTGTAGCCTACACAAGATTAATAACCTGATATTGTTGGATGTAGTCTCTTTTGCATTGCTGGGCAGTTGTAGTGCATTGTATTAACATTAACCCAGCTGGATTTTCCTATGTATTTGATACGGTTAATGATAAAATTCTGTTTCACCATAAAAACATGGCACAGCTAGTGCAATTGCACTGAAATGATTGTCACTCTTGACACCTGATCCTCCATGAAAGAGTCCTCATTTGTTGCATCCCTGAGGGATCCGTATAGCCTGTGTTCTCAACATCAATTCAAAGACTAGGTGAGAGTGTCAATCAAGAGAGACTGAAGTGTTTGCTGCTACAGGTGCTCTCCATCTTTACCCTATCTATCACATGAGACTTACCGCATAGGCATGGATTGTTTTGTTGACTGAGTCTCAAAAAGGCTCCCTAAAATAATAGCCTAGCTCCTAGCTCAGCCACACATTTCCTGGTTGTAGATAAGTTTCTACTTTGATGGTGTTTTCTTTTGCTCTTTTGGTTTCTTTTAAGGGAAGTTTTCCACAACAGAGTCTATAACCAACAGTAAATATATTGAAGATGCACTTACTGTTGGGTACACTTCTTCAGAGATAGTGCTTAAAGGCATGTTTGGGACAAGCTGAAGCATTCAGAGTGCTTCAGAACATCCTGAAATCTTCTTTGATTTCTTAGATTCAAAATACAATGTTTTCAGTCTGCCAGAATAGTTATAAAATAGATTATAGAATAATCCATCAAGCAAAACATTCAGTTTATAACAATTTAAGTGGCCTTTGAGAAATGCCCAGCAGTTGATAAGCATTTAGAAAACAGTCCTTTGTTTGCTTCACCATAAGTAAATGGAGTTCACAGATATTATGTAGTCATAATTCTACCTAGATTTTACTGAGCAGGAACATTACCTAATTGATACTGTGATAAACCTGTTAATCTTTAAAACAGTAATGATTCATCATTAAAGTAAATCCTAGATTCACATGAATGAATATTTGAGATAGATATTAGATAATTAATCCTTCCAAATTGCTGAAAAAAAAGTTACCAAAATAGTTTATTTATACATACATATATATATATGGTAAACATGTTTGAATTAAATGAACTCTGTTATTAGAGGAAACAAAAATCATTTTTTTCTGGCAGAAGTCTCATGGGTACAAGAACTGTGACTTTTATTTGATACACAATTTCAGAATAACAAAATAAACAATCACCTTTTATCTTGTCTAAGCATTTACAGATTAAATAAAAATACATTAAAAGTGAATTTTCTAATTTTTATAAGATTGTCATTTGTCCTGTTTTATTGCAAGTGATATTGCAGAAAAAAAATTACATCCAAAAACTTTTAGTTCATCATGCTGTTCTGTGAGGACTACTTCAGCTGACTTCTTGGAAGAAGTCTTTTTACACAGAAAAATAAGTATTGTTTTTTAACTGGCATTCTGCATTGTGCAGCATAAATTACATTAACCTATTAGTTGGTCATCCCCAATTTGAGTATTACTGCTTAATGATGGCTAATGCCAAAAAAATTGTATTGCCTGGTAATGCAATATCCTCATTCAAAATGAAATTGTACAGTTTAATACAAGTGCAAGAGTATCTAATGGACATGAACAGGTGTGTTTCATGGTTTCTTTCAGTCTAAACGTATTCACATTCATGCTGAAGATGTTGTCGTGCTGGTGGAATCCAATTACTGGTCCTTAAATTAATAACCCTATTAGGATTTTATTTTTGCACAAAGTAAAAACATTTAGAGCAAATATAATGAAGATTCAAAAGTAAATACTTGAAATAAATATCGAGTAGCATATAGTCACCAAAGAAAAATTAAATAAGTGAAAACAAATGTCAAATACATCAGCTATATATCTGAGCATATTGTAATGTAGTAACACTTTCTTAAATGCATTTCCTTTCTGTATTTACCATGTGGCTACTAAATTTGTGTATTTAATTACAGTGTAATAATTTAACTGTTAAATGAATGTAGAACAAATATGCCAGGTGACATAGGTGATTCTGCTTTAAACTGTCTTTTCTGACTGGTTTTTATTTGAAGTGATGGTTGCAAAAATTTTTAACTTGGTAGCCTGTTGATACAGACCTAGATATCGGCAGACAAAGGTGTAGGTAAATGTTTATTATTTGAAAAATAAATTTGCTGTACTATTTTGCTTTCTTTAGAGTAGTTACGTGATCTTCAGTGGAGTTTATTCAAGGGCTTGGATTACAGGGCCTTGTAGGACAACATGAAATGCATTTGCATGTCCTTAATAGGATTTAGCTATTTTATATATTGATCTTTCTTGCTTTTGCTAATAAGTGGAAACATTCTTTCAATTTTAAAAGGTTTCTTCTAGAATAAAGAATGTGAAATACATTTCAAAAGAGAGATTTTCTTTAATTGGAAATGTGTTTTCTTAAATATTAAAACTTCTGAAAGAAGAGTTCTTTTTTTCCGTAAAATATTTTTTCACAAGACTGATTAGCATAATTGTTGGAATATCCACAACTCTTTTAATGTTCTAAGAACTGTTACTTGATGTTGATAAAGTGATTTTAAAGAGTGAGCTGAGTCACCAAGCTTTTGTCTTTTGGTTCAGACCACAAGTGAGGGCACCATTTGAATATCTGAAGACAAAGACACTGAAAGAAAAGTATTTGTTCGTGCAGGGAATTAAATCACTCTGAATAACTACCTTTAGGGAACAAGTACTTTTCAGTTGAAGTATGTCTGCTGTTTGTTGTCAGTGGGGAAAACATATTAGGAATTGTTCTATTTTCAAGATAAGAGGGTACATAATGGAGGACATTTATTCCCTCAAAGTTGATTCTTCTGTAGAACATCACTTGAGCTCCCAGTCTCTACTTGGGCAGTAACATTCATTGCTTTAGATACAACAACAACAACAGCAAAGAAATCCTGGCTGTTCTATTTCAAAATATGATAAGATGAAGGCATTATTCAAGATTTTCAGTCATATTCTGTTTAACTGACACAAGCCTTATTTACGCAGAAATGCCCTTCATGCTAGTGTTACTTTCAACATGTTGCTTATTCTTCTCAGATGAATATTCTAAAAGTTCCTCGGGTCTCTTCCTCCTTTATTCATTTTCATCTCCTACAAGTATAGGTAGTCATCATCTGCTTCACTTTGATTATAACAAAAGATAACAGATGGTGATAGAATGAAAAGACTAGTTGCAGACTTGAATCTTATAAAGAGTTGAATGCTCTCATAATCCTCTAGCAATTGTCAAAATATTGTCTACTATTACATAAGACCCTGTGCATGAAGGAGAGCTGTTTCAGGCTAAATTGGCTTAGGAAAAAAAGTAATGGAAATACACAGAGAAGGTGTTTTTTCATGCTACCAACAAAAATATGGTGCAAAGCTTTTAAAGTGTTGGCAGCAGCATATGGCAGAAAAATCTGTTCAAAGCAAAGATCACAAGCTGGATTTACTTCTTCACTCTAATTTTGTTTTATACTTGTGTGCTTCTATTGACGTCAGAGTATAATGTGCAATGGGATGGAGAATCAGGCCATCTTCAACTACCTACCTCTCTACCTTCTACTTCCCAAAGCATTTCCTAAATGGGATGCATCATACTACAGAATATTACTCATTTCAATGACTGTGGCTCTAAAAGTGGTGCAAGGTAGATCATCTTTTCCACTGTTTTCATTCTTGAAGTCTACCTGTGCAGTGCCCAATCAGTCAGTGAGATAAAACTCTGAAGCTAGTAGGGTGGATAATGAAGAATGAGGTTTAGTCGACCTTACCTTACTTATTGGTCCATTGCACTAGTTTGTTGCTGCTGTTGTATTCTGGAAGGAATCCTCACTTGCAAGCAGGAAGTAGCAGTGTTAGAAAGTGAGCATGGTGTCATATACATATCTTTGTTCTGCAGTTCGTCAGGATGGCTGTAACCATTGTCTTGCCCTCTGAGACACACAACAGCATTAATTTCAATCCTCAAATTTCACATGATCAATTCTATAATTTCAACAACCCCATATGGGACAATCTGAGGGTTTGGAGAAAATCAAATCTCTTTCAACAACGAAGCTCTAAAGTGTTCAGAACAGCCATTTCACATTTTAAGATAGGGATTTTAATGTCTTTCTCCATTACAGTCA